CCTTGTTGGATCGAGCCCCGTTGCCACCCAGCTCGGACCCCGCCGCGGGGCCGAAAGGGATCCTCGAGAAGAGTAGCATCCTTACCAACGCGGGGAAGAAGCCGCAGGCAAAGGAGTCCCCCACGCGTGGTGCGGCCGTGGTGGTTTCGGACGCTACCAGTATGGGTAAAACGTCGAAGCCGCTCGTGTGGAAGTCGGGTAGCACGGATTCGGTCACGCGCGGCGGCTCTAAACCCACTGATAACATCGCAAAGAATAACATCTTTGTAAGCCACAATGCATCTTCACGGCCCCTGATAAGATCTGCTCCGAGCTCTTCGCAGCCACCAAACGCAGTGGGAGCTGCCGTGGTAATCCCTCATACCCGTGATGCCGCGTCGCGGCGGGATTCCCTCACACCGTCTCACCAAACCACCGTAGCCAACATGGGAGCTATTAATAACAATCAGGTTCGGCTCAACTTCTCAGGTTACAGCAGCCATCCTCGAAGTAATTCAGCATCGTTGGTTGCACAAAAATTTGCAATAGTAGGTTCGAATTCCCAAATTGTGAACTGAATTGTTTTGTTTATAATTCAATTAGAGCCTGAAGAAGATCGTTGATAATGAGTCGCTTAATTTATTTTGGGACTTGGATTTGAATTCGAGATTCCGATTGTTGGGTCGGGTTCTTTTTTCTTCTTGTTCAAAAATACTTTACACACATCTATGATGTGAAATTTGAGCGCAAATCCGTTTCCGGGTGTTGTTATAGAGTTTGATGTATTAAGTATCTCTCTATGCTTTGCATGCTCTCTTTCTTACAAGTGTATATCTATATTTTTGTATTCTTGCTTAATTGTAAATTTGAAAAAATGGTCTTTAAAAACTTTTACTATCTAAGAGAAAAAGGATACCTATCAAAAAGAAATTGTGGTAAACTTTTTATTGAAATGATTGCATTATTAATATAGTTTTGTTGCTCAAACGCTCACTTCCAAGAATGTCTAATGGAAATGTTTGATAAGATAGAATACACATTTTTATGCCTATAAAAAACCCTGCTTCGCATTGGTGATGTGGAACTTATTCCCTTGTAGGGCTTCATATGTTGAAGCTCATGGAAGGAACCTTTTTTTAACTTCCCATATTTCATTCAGTCCTCATTACAAGTGAAGGGTTCCCTTACTTGAACATACACCAAAATAAAGGGCAAACTAGACAAGTTGAGTAGGCTAATTGAGCGACACGCAATTTAGCTCTCGTATCGAACCCAAGCTTCAAGTTAAAAAAGAACAATATATATCCACGTGTTTGAATTTTGCCAATAAAAATATAAATAGAACCCGCTAGATGACAGCTGCGAAAAACTCCAATCTCGACTGCAGTTCTGCGGCTAGCGAGCTGTGGTCCGACAAGTACAAGCCGCAGTGCATTGCTGAAATGTGCTACCCGGTTTTTGCGAATAAGCTGCTCGCGTGGCTGAAAAACTTCGATCCCAGTCGTCCTGGGGATTCCAAAAAACCTGCCGCGGTGCTCTTTTCCGGGCCTCCCGGGGTGGGGAAGACGACGACGGTCTACGTCGCCGCACGGGAAGCTGGCCTTAGCGTCATCGAATACAATGCCAGCGACTTTCGTAGCTGCAAATCCCTCCGCGAGCACGTTTCCACGCTGATCACCAATCGCGCCTTCTCGAAAGGGGCGACCTCCTACGCAAATGTCCTTTTGTTGATGGACGAGGTCGACGGCTGTGATGTGGGCGGGGTGGGGGAGGTGATTGAGTTTATTAAAACTACCCGTATTCCAATCGTCTGCACTTGTAACGATCGTTGGCATCCAAAGTTGCGGTCGCTCGTCAACCACGTGGAGGATATGCGGTTTACGCGACCGCCGTGTAATATCGTCGCGAATTACCTCTGCGATCGCGTTCTCGCGCGAGAGCAGGTGAGTCTTTCAAAACCGCTTTTACAAGATATCATCAAACGTTCCGGGAGCGATATCCGGAGTATGCTCAACAATCTACAAATGTGGTGCCTTCAGCATCGTGTTCTTAATGAGCGCGAGCTCGCCTCTTGTGCGGTGAAGATGCAAAAGGATAACGATACGAGCATCTTTGATACCGCAGAGTTCTTTCTTCTCCAAGGCACTAGCCGTGGGGAGCCGCACACTATCAAAGAGATGGAGATGCGCTACTACAACGCGGACCTCGTTGATATGTTCGTGCAGGAAAATTACCTCCATTTTTGCCCCACGGAGGAGGAATGGCTTCCCGCGGTGGAGCGGGCGGCGGGGTGCATTTCTCGCGCGGATGCCGCCCAGCGGATGATGTATATGGAGCAAAACTGGTCCGTTTCACGTGCACACGTCCTCCTCTCCAGCATCGCGCCGTGCGTTTATACTCGTGGGAAGTACGTTTCCTTTTTGGAAGGGCAACAGGTGTTTTTTGATCGCCAGCGCCCTGTGAAGTTCCCCACCTGGCTGGGGCATAACTCCACGGCGGGAAAGAATCGTCGGCTCCTGCGTTGCCTCACGATGCAGGCGCAGGAAAGCATCAGTGGAAATCAGGAAGATGTCGTGCTCGATTACATCCCGCTTGGCTGGGAGCGTGCCCTCCTTCAGCCACTCGCGGAGAAGCAAAAAGAAGGTATTCCCACCGTGATCGCCGTGATGGATAGGTATAAATTGATGCGGGATGATTACGATTTCGTCCAAGGAACCGCGCACTTTAAACGGATGCGAAGCGCCTCTCGGAGTGGGACCGCGGATCTTCCTGCACGGATTCCCACGGCGGTGAAATCCGCCTTCACGCGGGAGTTTAACCGCACCCACCGCGTAGAAAGCCTCGCGAAGGCGGCGCTCCAACACATCGATAAAGGCGCCGCCGCCGGGGCCCTCCCGGACGACAGTAGCGAAGAAGGTGAGGAGACGCAGGAGCTCCGGGGGGGTGGGGTCGCGGCGAATGCGAAAAAACCCGCAGCGAAGCCTGCCAAGGGGAAAAAAGCCGCCGCCACCACCAAACCATCCACCGCCGCCACGCGAAAAAAAGAAAAAGACGCCGAGCCCGCGAAAAGCACCGCTCGCAAGAAGGCCGCACCAAAACGAACGACCAAGCGAACGCGTAAAGACGAATCCAGTGAGGAGGACTCCTTCATTGCAAGTGATTCGGATGACGACTAATACGATGAGGCGTCAATCAAGGGCGAATGGCAACTAGAACGCTAAATAAAGCAGGTAATGCGGGCGATATGAAGAGCACCGGACGGACGTGATTAGAATGAAGATTCGAATCTAAGAATTGAAAATATGCTTTTCCCATTTTGGAGGTGATATTGATGATGGCATCATCCCTATGCTTCTCTTTTGATTCTTTTTAGTCATTTGACGATGTTAATAGTTCAGGAAAAACAACACTTTAGCCAATAAAAAAGCAAACCATGTTGAATCCCTCTAGGAAACGCCATCCGCCTGCGCAGCTGCATTGCCGGATCGCCAAACACTGCTTTCCGGTTTATTCTCACCCCGTTTTTCGTGCAGAGGTGCAGGAGCGCAGGTTCGTCGAAACGCATGTCGAGGAGGCTTTACAGGATACGGAGCTGATGGAATGTCTGAATCAACAGATTGAGGCGTATTTTCTTACCTTGCAGGATCCTTCGAAGATGGGGAATTCCCTCGCGGAGGTTGAGATCAGCGACGCCGCGATCGCGAAAATCCTTGATGAGGCCTTAGCTATCTATCAGGGCGATTCTACGGCGACAGAAAGTGGCGACCGTGGTGAGATTTTGCGGGAAACCCCCTTTGAAAACCCCCTTGGCAGCGTGGAGTCGACCGGAGCCTCCCGAGAGAGGATTTCCCGCATGGAAAAAAGCATCGAGGCGAAAAAATGGCCTCTCCGGGGTCGTCATCTTCCACCGCTTTCTGTCGTTTCCCCCTCAACCCGTGGTGGGGCGGTCGAAACGCGAAATTGTCGTCTTCTCCCTGATTTAACGCCGGTGGTGGTGGGGGCAGGGGGGGGTTTCGGCGAGGAGGGCCCCTTGACGACAGAAGGATCCCCAGAAAGGGCGGTTTCGAAATCCCCTTCGCAAACTGGGGAAGGGAGGAGGCCTCGAATCTCGCGCCGTGGGGCTCGCGCCGCGATTTATTCACTTCTTCGCACCCGCCTTCCTCCGGAATGTGCGGATCGCATCGTCGGGGAGGCCGAGATTCGTCGTGCGCGGCGAGGAAAGGTCGGGGTGGGGGCCTCTCAGCTTCGCGCCCTTCCCCCTGCCAGTTTTGCCGAGTTGGATGTGTGGATGGATGGCAACTCCACCTGCCTTCGTCGACGTCCAAAAGCGGCGGATTTGACGCCGGCGCAACGCGCCGCGATTCACGCCGCCCGCGCCCTCACCGAAGGCCCTTCGCGATGCGTGAAGTGGCCGATTGAAGTCCCCCTTCCACCGCGGCATTTATCCCCCTCCTCGTCGTGGATGGCTTCCCCTTCCCCTTCCCGCCATTCAACGCTTCAATCCGGTGGATTCGGAGGACTTTCCGTGGACCCCCGCGAACGCGCCGCGTCGCCGTCGAGAGGTCTTTCCATTTCGAACGTTTCCACCCTGAAATCGATGGAAGGGGTGTTGGGGGAGCCGCCGCACGAAAACGCGTCGTTTACTCAAAAAACAAAATTCCGCCTTCCCCGCATGAAAGGGGTGGGGTTCACCCAGAATACCCCCTCCTCGTGCTCGCGGAATCGGGAAAAAGAAGAGACGCCAAGGGGGGATGGCAGGAGGAACGGTCACGATCAAGTTTGGGAAAAGGCGTTGCAAAATGTAAAAAATTTTTGCCTGTGAAGAGGCGTAAATACGCTTTTTTATGGGGTAGATTTCCCTCTCCTTCCTTTCGAAGTCGTCGTACCGTGAAGGCTTCGTTTAGAGGTATTTTTTCTTTTTTATTTCGTGAATTGCTCTCATCAGGGAGAGAGGGGGTGACGGGAAAGAATAATGTATAGGCATGCCGCATCGTATAGAGGAGGGAAGGGGATGTGTTTATGGAATATTGATTTACAACATGTTTTTATTTCAATCACGCTATTTGCTTTTACGAATGGAAAGTGGTCTCTTTCTCTCTCTCGCTCCCTCTCTCTTATACGATTTGTCGTGTGGAATGCATTTCGCTGTATCATATTATTATTATTTTACTCCTCTTTCTCTATATATCCGTGTGGTTAACTATTTTGTATGTGTTTCTTTTTTACAAAATGATTTTCTTTACAATTCTTTCCCGCCTTTGGTAAAACTCGACCTCCTCTGCGTACATAGGCTAGAAAGACCAACAGAATAAGACGAGGTTTCCTAGTTACTATGAGCAAGAAAAAGGGACTTTCGGCTGAAGAAAAGGTCGAAAAAGTGGCAGGGTGGTTCGAATCCCATCCCGAGCCCTATACCCTCAAGGAGTTGCAATCGCTCATCCCCAAATCCACCGGAGTGATCTACCAAAGCATCGAGGAGTGCGTGGAGATCCTCGTCGCGGAGAACCGACTCCATCAGGAGAAGATTGGGGTGCAGACGTTGGTGTGGAAATTCCCACTCACGGAGCTGCAAAAGCAACACGCCCTCGCGATGGAGTTGAAAACCGTCAAAAATTCGAAAACCCCGGCCGCACGGCTCGCCACGATGAGCGTAGCCGCCCTTCAGGCGCGGCGTCGGATCCTGGGGGAGAATTTAACGCGTCTGAACGCGGCGATTCTTCAACGGCAAGGCGAGGTGGGATCACCCACGGAATCAAAATCGGAAATGCAGCAACTCGAAACCCTCACACGGCGGCGAGCGCGGCTTCGAACGGAGCTTCAGCAGCTCGCGGCGTTCGATCCCGGGGTGATGGATAAACTTCACGCCGCGATCACGATCGCCGTGGAGGCGGCGAACCGCTGGACGGAGAACTTCTTCCTCCTCGAGAATTACATCACGAGTCGGATGGGGCAAAGCTCGAAAGAGTTGCGTGCGTTGTTATGCATTCCGAGCGAGTTCGATTACATCGACGATGGTGTTCTTTCGCGGGAGAAATCCCCGGCAATGGATGCGAAGAAGACGCATCCTTCGTCGCCAGGGGTGCAATTATGCGCGGCCTCGGCGTTACTCCTTCCAGGTGGACGCAGTCGTGATTCGGAGGATCACCCCCTTTCAACGGCGGCAAACACGAAACCAAGCGAGTGTGATCGGGCAACATCAAATCAAAATTCGTGTAGCAACCCCCTTCCGCCGTCTGAAATCGTAAACCCCCCGAAAGAAGCCAACGAAACGACGGAGCATAAAGAGGTGGAGGTGGAGGTTGTAATGGACTCGAGCACTCAAAGCCTTGAAAAGGAAAACGATTTAACGGGAAGCTCGTCGAGTGGGGGGACGAAACCCTCGCCGCCGTTACGCAACACGGCAAAGAACACCAACGGGAAGGGGAGAAATCCACCGAAAGAGCCCGCTTCGGCCGCGTTGCGAAGCTCACCGGAGCGCAACGGCGCCGCCGTGAAAAGCAAAGGAAAGGAAACGAAGGAGGAACTCCCCAAAGAAGCGGGTAATTCACGAGCGAAAACTCCTTTGCCGGTTAACGGAGGCAAACGAGCGAGCTCGAGTCGCGCGGGGGAAGAAAAAAAAACGATAAAAGTACCGCGTGTGGAGGTTCAACAACCCAATAAACATGATAAAAAGAAATAAATGAGAACTCTCTGCGATGGTTGTGAAGAGTCTGAGATCGGAAGAGTGAAAAGGAATGAATACGATTTGTGTCCATTTACAGCGTTTAATGCTAAATCTATTTGTAACTCAAACGCTAAAATATCAAAGGGGGATTCCTCCGACTGCCGAATATCTATTAGAAAAATTACTTAGTTAACGGAAATCAGAATGTCGATAGATTTATAAGCAAGGTACTTCATTTAATATCTTTTATTCAAATGTACGAACCATCAAGTTAGAAATAGAATGAGAGCCTTTTTATCATCGTTTTTCACTGCTCAGACCTCATCTTGCGTCGTATTTTTTTCTTGGTTTACTTATTCACATTCATTTATACTTTCTGCTTCACACACTAAATAAGTGTGTCTAATACAATTATTTTTTTGTTTACTTTTTGGCTGTGGACTGATAAATTATGAAAATTTTAAGTACTTACTTTGTTAAATAATAAAAAAATCCTATTCTTCTAACTTTATCAACAAATAGTCGGAAGGACGAGATACAAAAAGTGCATAAAGGGTTTAATCACGATATCTTCGCAAATTCAGGGAGGATTTTAAGTCTTTTTTTGACGATACCAAAACAAAAAGGGGTTAGTTCTCCATCGCGAGCGTATAAAAGGCGATATATTTGATCCAGCAGAGCCTCAGAAAGAAAGAAAAAACATCTGAACGTGGATATATATTAGTATATAAAGAGAATTGAGCAAAAATGGCGACCGCGACGACCATCAAAGAGGCTATTATTCGTTTCGAGGAGGGTGAGTACAACCGTCGGCTGCACGCCGCGCCGCCCGGAACCGATCCGGAGAGCATCCACAAGGTGGTTGCCGCGGAAGAACCAAAGGTTTTACTGATTGGGATGCTTCCCCCCATCGTGAAGATGGATAAGGATATCACTCAGCTCAAGGCTTGCGTACACCTAGGGCTTAGCACGAATGCGATTGAAAAAATAGGTCCTGGTTTAAAGGAGCTGAAAAATCTGCGAATCCTTTCCCTCGGGCGCAATAACATTCGCAAGCTGGAGCAGCTTGATATCCCGCATCTCGAACAGCTGTGGATCTCTTACAATAAAATTGACAAGCTCACCGGGTTGGATAAGCTCAAGAACTTACGGATTCTATACATGAGTAATAATTTGGTGAATAGCTGGACGGAAATCGACCGACTATCAAATCAATGCCCAGAATTGGTGGATGTTCTTTTTGTGAATAATCCTATTTATAATAGCGCGCCGAGCACGCAGGAGTATCGATATATGATGCTGCAGCGCCTGACCAAGCTTACCTGTTTAGACGGCATACCAGTGGATCCAGAGGAGAGAGAAGAGGCGGATCGACGGCGTTAAAAAAAAATGAATTCAATGAATTCAATGCACGCGAGAAGGAAAGAGGAGGATGAAGAAGTCATTCTAATGCCAAAGTTCGCTGTTCTAAATTTCTCACTACTGACGTCCAGGGTGTATGGAATTCTTTTCTTTGTCTAATCACGTAGGCAAGTGTTTCCTGTTTTATATAATTACCCTTTCTGCATATGTTGATTGATGTACAAATTAGAAAAAAGCTAAACGTAAAATGACTTTTTTGTTTCGCACCAGTTGAAACCAAAAAGCCTCGACGAGAGAGCTCTAGCGTCGTCCTTGTTCCTAGATGTAAATTAGTCAAAGCTTCATGGAAGTGATGGTCATCGAAAAGTTGGTATTTCATTATGACCTATCTTTATGAACGGTTGATCATTTTCTCCTCCTCATGTTACCTTCTCCGGATGGGAATCTCTCCAATGACGAAAGTTTCACATAAGCACCAGAAGTTTCCTACACCCCCTTATATATATATATATATATAGAAGAACGAGAGAGAGCGATAAAGATCCATAGTGGACTCCTTTTTCTTCGTTCATTTCGGCGTGGATCCCGTTATTCGGTTTATTCTTTCCCTTCTTTTCACTATCACGCGATTCCCTCATGCCGGGGCTGCGATCCTCGCCGTCGATTCACCTGTGTGATCCCGATTTCACCTCCCGCTGCGCTTACCACGACGTCTACGTGCTGCCGGCCGGGTTGGCCGTGGGGGAGGGGGGTACTTCGGTCGAAAATCGCGTTTCTTCCGCCGAAGATCACGATTCGTCGGCGAAGGATTCTTTTTCTTCCACAAGCCATCGCGTTTTCCCCACGGATAGTGGGCTTTTCAGGGCGCCGCTCGCCGTTTTACGCTCGCGTTGGCTGCTCCGCGATGGAGGGGGGCTGCGGCGCGCCATTTTAGGCTGGCGATGCCGCGGCTGCGCGGGGGTGGAGGCGAACAAAACCCTCCTCCACCGCGGCACCCCAAAGACCTTCTCAACCTCCACGGAAGGCGAGAAATC